AAGCCTTGCTTGAGCAAGAAATGCTTAAGGCATTCATACCATGCTCTTGGTGCTTGCTTAAGCCCATAGAGCGCCTTATGGAGTTTGTAGACATGGTGAGGATGCTTAGGATCTTCAAATCCCAATGGTTGCTCCACATAGACTAGCTCGGAGAGTGGACCATTGAGAAAGGCACTCTTCACATCCATTTAACATAGCTTGAAATCATGATGGATGACAAAGGCTAGAAGCATTTGAATTGCTTCAAGTCTTGCCACTGGTGCAAAGGTCTCTTTAAAGTCTAGCCCTTCAACTTGAGTGAACCCTTGAGCAACCAATCTTGCCTTGTTCCTTGTCACCACACCATGTTCATCTTGCTTATTTTGGAAGACCCACTTGATGCCAATCACATTAGTCTTGGGTCTTTCCACCAATTCCCAAACATGATTTCTCTCGAAGTTGTTCAACTCTTCTTGCATAGCCATCACCCAATCCGGATCCTTAAGAGCTTCATCTACCTTAAGAGGTTCTAAGGAGGAAACAAACGAGTAAAATTGGTAAAAAATTGCTAGACGAGATCGAGTTGTTACCCCCTTTCTTATGCTCCCAAGGATGTTGTCAACGGGATGATCCCGTTGTACACTTTGATGCACTCTTGGATGAGGTGGCCTATCTGAAGGTTGATGTAGAGGTTGGTTGTCATCATCTTCATCAGCTTTAGGCTTATCATCTTGTATTTGTTCCTCCTCTTGCAGATTGTTGTCCTAGACCCCGGAGCCTCCGCGTCCTGGCACGAAACCTCTAGGCCCCAGAGCCTCCACGTTCAGGCATGGAGCCTCCGCGTCCTACATGTTCATAGGACCTAGGACAACAGTTGGCCCTTGGAGTGGTGTTGAAGCCTGGAGTGGAGGGTCTTCTTCTTTGGTCGCTTCAACTGGTCTCACATCACCTATGGCCATATGGTTGATTGCTTCATAAGGTGGCTTTTCTTTTCCTACAACATCTAAATCAACTTGCTCCACTTGAGAGCCATTAGATTCATCAAACATCACGTCTACCGTGATTTCAGTTCTTCCGGTAGAAAGATTGAAAACCCGATAGGCGTGCTCGTTTGGACCATAACCAAGAAGAAAGCCTTCATCAATCTTAGGTGCAAATTTAGAGCTTCGAGGCTTCTTGTTAAAAATGAAACATTTGCACCCAAATACTCTAAAGTATGACACCTTGGGTTTGTTACCAGTTAGAAGCTCATATGAAGTCTTCTTGTAGTACTTATGAAGATAGAGGCGGTTGATAGCTTGACAAGCGGTGTTGACTGCTTTGGCCCAATAGTTGTCCGAAGTCTTGTACTCATCAAGCATTGTTCTTGCCATGTCAATGAGAGTTTGGTTCTTCCTCTCAACCACCCCATTTTGTTGAGGGGTATATGGAGCCGAGAATTCATGCTTGATGCCCTCCTCATCAAGAAACTCTTCGACATTGGTGTTGCGGAATTCGATACCATTGTCGCTTCGCACCTTCTTGATAGGTAGCCCGAACTCCCTTTGTGCTATTCTAATGAAGGTCTTCACCTTCCCTTGCACTTCACTCTTATCATACACAAAGAACACCCACATAAAGCGAGAATAATCATCAACAATAACAACACCATATTTGTTACCGCCAATGCTAACGTAGGCAACTAGTCCAAAATGCATCTAAATCATTGAAAGAATGTCGATAGTTGCATCATCAGGTACGACATAGGATACATATTCATCACATGATTTTCTCTTCGCGACCATCGACGATGAGATCGATGCCCCGGAGTCGCTGTCCTCGTAGGGGGCTCCTAGAAGCACCCCTCCCCTTGCAGCCTGCCAATGAAATCGACGCCTGCAACGGTGATCTCATCGTGGTAATCCCCAAAGTCATCACTAGAAACACGATCCTGGGCGAAATTCATCTGATTTCGCCAAAAGATTTACTTGACTAAAACCTAAGCAACTAGATATGAAAATTAAAACTACGAGAAAAAAGATGGGTCCCCTCCCCTTCTTGTCCCCGGCAGATGTACTGGAGAGGAAGACGGAGAGGGGCCCTAGACGCAGCGGTGGCGGTGAGAGTCTCGGTGGTGGCGGCAGCTGCGTAACCCTACGTGCGGCTACGTGTCGATGATTCGTTGTCCTTGTATCTATGGCTAAGAAGTTCTTACAACCTTAGGATCTGATGCTTCATGGCTTCCTAGTGGCAAATAGCAAATCAAGCACTGCTTAATATTTTCGCATTAATGTTGTTACTCGTTTGAATAATTCTTTGTGGATTTGTAAATTTCATAGCATGCAACAATTAAGGCTTTCATTGGGCTGTCGTAGTCTTATATGTACATAGTACTCTCTCTACGTCCCTAAAAGAAATCATTTTGGATAAGGTTTGAGTTAAACATTGGGAATATAAATCATGAATAACTTTTAAGTTGTTGATTTTGAAAACGTGAAAACCATACAAATAGATTTGTCTTAAAAAATACTTTCATAAAAATATACATATATCACTTTTCAATGTATATTTTATAAAAATAAGAAGTCAAAGTTATGCTTTGGAGACCGTATCGCTATCCAAAATGACTTCTCTGTATATCTCTTCATGTTTGATCCATCCTTGATATTTCATAATGCAGAATAACCCTGAAAAGGCAGAAGTGCTATAGAACAGCATTGAATTCTTTATTTAGAATTTTCCATGCATGACTCAATGGTTAAGCAAAGATGTGCTGTTGAAGAAATGTTGTTTGCAGTTTGCATGGCGGGTTTCGCGCGCTGCGGTCTTCAAGGAATTGGCGCATCCCCCATTTCATATTTGGCCTAGTTTTAGATTTTAGGATGCTATATAAGATTCAAATAATTCTAGGCAAGGAACAAAAATGTAGAGCATGATTATTTTAAATAAAACCAGATTCATATTTTTTGTGAGTAAAAACAAAATTTCAATGGTTAAATATGATTTTCGTTAATTTTAACTATTTTCTAGAAAAATATTTGGATAAATTTTTAAAAGTTATTTCTGCATGTCACTTTATTCTATCTGTACAAATATCATGAACCCTGTGCACGCATGCATGCATGTGTGTGGCAGGGTGTATGTAGCCACGCAGGCTAACACGAATACTTTTAAAATTATTTAGGGTATTGAACTATTTCCCACTACAGTCCTAACAATGCTTTACTACCGCTTTTGTGTAGCTCGGATGATCAATATCGACTAATTATAATAGATACGAGAGTTTTTTAACTAGAAAATAAGCACCAAAATGGGTTCATCAAGATTCAAACAATTTCAACCTAGGCACCGTAACATAGAGCATGATTTTAGAAAATTTAAAACAAGTTTCGTAATTTTCTAAGCTGAAATAAATTTTCTATGAATCTTCAAGATTAAACCAGTTTTTAGGATTTTTAATTACAAGAACTTTCCATGTAAAAATATGTTTAAATAAATAATTGAATTTTTTTTTAATTTTTAGATATTTTAAAAAAATATTTCTAGTCTGATTTATCTTCTTGAACTTTCAACTTCGTCTGATTTACCCCATCTAACGTGACGCCACATTAGCAAAACTACTGTCAAAACCACCAGGGTGCAAAAGTGAACGGTTTTCAAAAGTCGAGGGAGTTTAAAAAAATCCACCCTCAATACGAGCAGTAGCACGCACCTGGCGTCTTCCAAGTCAGCGGTGGTCTCGGAGTCTTCTCCATTGTCGGCAACGACGAGCAGCACGAGGCATAGATCGGCCATATGGGGCTTGGCGATGTGCCCAACAAACGAAGCTGACGGCGGAGGAGGAGGAGAGGTGGCCAAGGAGGAGGGTACGAAGGGGATTGGCGGCGGAAGAGGTATGCGGCGCTCGGAGGTCGGGGAGAGAACGAACGGGTGGAGAGAGAAAAAATAGAAGAAAGGGTCTCATAAATGATAAATTGGCCCCATATGTCAGAGGAGATATTGAGGTTGAGATTTTCTCGTTCTATTGGAGATAAAGCTTTTTAAAACCCTCAAAACAAAATTATAGCTCTTTCTCAGTAACTAGTTTGGGGTTGAGATTTTCTCCAACTCACAGCAAGTTAAGGTACTACTACTTATCGTACGTGTCGTGTCAGTTCGAACGCTGAAGTCTACATAACTGCTGGGCTGTGTGGGCCAGGAGCCGAAAAGTACCCAAGATGGAGAGGGGTTGGTTGAGGCCTGCTGTTTTGTCCAGAGAGGAGGGAATGGGCTATGGAGATCCGGTCCAATCTAAGAGATGAGGAACAAAATTATTTACTCTCTGATTAGTTTTTTTTTTGCGATTTACTCTCTGATTAGTTTGATCGCATCATGTTGTCCTTTAAGAGGTGGAGGTGGATTACATGTTAGTTATCAGGTGGAGTACATGTTAGTTATCTGAATTAGTTTGTCATGTCACGCTAAAAGGTGAACTTAATTAGATTGTCACGTGTTACATTTACATCAAATCAAATAGGGTTAAAGGTGAAATCCAATTACCATTTAGATCTAACTAAATGGATGATTTACAATCATTTTTGAGTATATAGCATAAAAACTGCCGAAACAATGCAAACGCAAATGCGAGATGATAAATGAAACGCTGAAGAACATGACACCATCTCTTGGTGGTGTGCGTCGAAGTCAAATCATGTCTTATTATGATTTAAGTTAAATTCAAGTCCAGTATAAAACTACATTTGCATTGTAAGTGTATCACATTTGTATATCTCAATAATAGTTACACACAAACACGAACTAAACTCAAAACCAATCTCCGGCAACCACAGAGATACAAACCTGCCTGCTGTGGCAGGGCGGCTCGATATTGAGAATCATCTATCTTGTATCAGTGAAGTTGTAAATTGTAACCAGTGAGGGAAGCAAGCCTTGTTAATGTTGGTGCCTATCTGCTAACAGATGTTTTAATCAGGCTAGTAACATATGTGATCGCCTGAATATCTGATCCGAATGCTGCTCGGAGGTCGACTCCTGGGCAGGTCTTATGCCCTGAGGCGCAAGGACTGGTTCATAAGTCTACTGTTCAGCGATCCAGATTTCTTAGGTGTATGCCTGATCAGCCTACTGACATAAGGAGATTGATCTTTGTCCAGATGGGCAGCTTCAATCTTGTCAACCAACGATGACGATGACCAAGATGTAGAAGCTGGAATAGAATCAGGCTGTACCACTCCACTCTTCTGCATTGCCTCGCTAGGTGAAGTCTTGCCCGCATAGGTCCGCTTGTTGAACAGGGAGCTGATCCTGGAATACCTTTGCCTCAGTGGTGTCGGAGTCTCTTCATGGCTCCAGGTCTTGGCAGAGTCCACGGACGAGGCATCATCATCCAGATCCTTTTGGCCGCTGCCTGATTTCTTCCATTTGCGGTGAGGCCATCTGAGTAGGACTTTGATATGCTTTGCTGCATCTTGGAAAGAATTCAGCTTCTTCAGTTTGGGTCTCAGGATGTCAGCATCTACCCTGCCAATAATGGAGGAAAATGATACTGCTCTTTCGCTGATGCCCGGCACGTCAATTCCAGCATCAAAGAAGATCTCAGCATCTGATATCTTGAATGATGTCCCTGGGCTTCCTACAATGGAGTGCATCTTTATCTGAGAAGCGATAACTGACCTAGTCTCATGGTCCCTTGAGTTTGTGAACCCACCAGCCAAAATCAATTGTTTGATCAGTATTTCTGATGACGTCGTTCGTGGCTGTTTCCTGAGTAGATCCAGAGGAGTCATGCCATCATTGTCACAGATGTTGAGGTCAATAGAAGGCACACTCATCAAGTGTTCAACAAGGTCTGGATGCAGATTGCCAACCACAGCTAAGTGAAGAATTGTCTTTCCATCATAATTTTGTGCATTGATAGTACTGCTGATATCCACAATTGCTCCACCAACTAATTGCCTAATAAGTTCCATCTGACGATCAAGCCTTCGGAATTCAGGAGTCCCAAAGCTAGTCAGTGCCATGTGAAGGAACGTGTCACCAGCTTCATTTGTTGCTGATATGAGAGATGATGATGCAGTAATGAGAGCCTCGACCACTCGAAGATGGCCTTGAAAGGCTGCTATATGCAATGCTGTGTTCCCTTGGTCATCTACAGAGTTCACTATATCAAAAGATGCAATGAGATCCTTGACAACCTGCAGTGTTTTGTCATAAATTTAGTTTAGTACTTTGTAAACCGTCTGTACATAGAAAATTAAGCATAGGGCCCATTCCAAGGTTTAACTGTGGAGCAACAGATTGAAGGAAAGGTCATTAACCCCTCTAATGATGAAGAATCATCTCGAATGATCATCCTTCAATCAATGAACATAACAAACACAAAATGTTCCATGCGAGCAACATAAATGTAATAACTAGGCACGTGAACAAAAATTTCCATTGCCAAAGCATCAATGAATAAAATCAAAAGTGTTCATTGTCATAACTCTAAATTCACATGCTACCAAGCAAATCTTAAGTACTCTTTTGCCGTGGAATTTTGATGGCAGACAACCTTTATGAAACTCCAATCCAGTGTTAAAAGATAATGTGAGTGCCAACAAGTACAGCCATTAGTTTAATCAAGACATACCACAAGTTTAATGCATATTTGAATGATCAACTAACAACCTGGCAAGCATGTGCATGGGATCAACTTTAAGGGCCAAAGTGGGAATAATATCAAACACTACGGGATAAACAATTCTTAGATTACAGATCAGAGAAGCAGTATTGACTCTAAATGAATTGGAGACAATGATCAACATGCTTTTCCCACTCAATTAAACTATGCAATATAGAACATATGTAAGAACAAGGATATCTGTGAAGGAGACTGCTGACAGCCTGGCTAAAATGTTCCGAGTCAATTTACAAGGAGAATCAAGTGAAAGACAACATATATTTGTACAGAATTACTAGGCTATATAGATCAGGCCGCACGAGTAATTTCAAATGAAGCAGTGAAAAAGTTAAAAAGACTGAATGTTCCATGAGACTGAAGTTTCGCGAGACATACATGGTACTGTAGATTACAATGTACATTCATTTCATCGTGAAAGAAAGAATGAAGCTGAGAAGGAAAAACTGCAACTGCAACTGCAACACATACCTCAACTTGGCCCTTTGCAGCCGCGGCGTGCAAGATGGTTGATCCCTGCGCGTCCCGGTAGGCCGCGGCGTCGGAGCAGCCGCGCAGGAGGTCCCTGAGCACGTCAAGGCTGCCTCCCCTCGCGGCGGCGTGCACGGCGCGGCACATCATCTCGCGCCTAAATTCGTCACCCCCGACCGGAGCCGGACACGACGCCGCAGACAGCACGGCATCGAACAGGAGGCGGAACACCTCGGAGCCTCCGCTCCTCGCCGCGGCGTACAGGATGTCGGTGACGCCGTACTCCCCCTCGCCGAAGACGAGCAGCGGCTGCGCCGCGAGCAGCTCCCGCACAAACCTCTCGTCCCCGGCCGCGGCGGCCGTGTAGAGGAGCCATCCGCCGTATCCGGCCCTGAGGAGGCGGTTGGCGTTGCCGTCGCCTCCTCCCCCGCGGGGAAGGTGGTGGCGCTTATCGGCAGGCTCGCAGTCGAGCAGGAGGCGGCGTGCGACGGCGGCACGGTTCGTGGCGGCGTCGTGGAGGCGCGCGTCGTCGTCCCAGACGGACTCGAGGCGGCGGATGCGGCGGAGGGAGGTGAGCTTGACGAGGAGGTTCGGGTCGAGGCGGAGGAGCTCCCGGACGACGTCGTAGTGACCGCTGGCCGCCGCCCAGTCGATGGGCGTGGCGTACCACCACTGGTCGCCCGTGCTCTCCCACCGCAGCGGCAAGAACGGGTCCCTCGGTTCCTCCGTCGTCGCCACCTGCACCTCCATGGGCTCCAGCAGCTATTCTTGACTAAAAACTGGGAGGTGATTCGCACTGGAAACGCAAGTAAAAATCAGGCGGCGGCGGACGGCCGGAGACGCATCCGGAGCCAACCGTCCAAGCTTTTTTTCTGGTCGGCCCCGCCAAGCGGAGGAACACCACGAGATCGAGATGAGATGGTAGTTAAAGTGAAGAAGTTTGGGAATGGGAAGGAAGGACAAAGCCCAACCATGACCAGGTCATTCCATTCCATTTTCTATCTTTTTTTAGTAAAAAAATTATGAAACACCATAGCACGAGCCACGAATGCAGGCGCAAGTTTTGCAGCGGAAGCAACCGTCTGGATGATACTCCAGAAAAACAGCAAGGGAACAAGAGAGCAGGCACGGCGGATTTGGGCTCACCTGTTGCCTGCTGAAGCTATTTTTTACCCGCTGATCGACTTTCTGTCCAATTTTTCAGCCATTTGGCATCAGTTCGTGCTCAGCAGCGTGGTGGAGCACGCTTGCAGAGAGTAAAAACTCGAGGAGTTACAGAGAAAAAAAGATTTCTGCATCTTTCCGGAGTTCACGTACCGGCGGTGGAAAGTTTGAGTGGAGACACGAGAGGATGGGAAGGGCCTAAGGAATACGCATCCAGGATAATGATGTGGACCGGCATCTCGGGAGCCAACTTCTCTCGTGCTTGTTCCTTGGAAATCCCGGTGACAACCGAAGCTAGGAAAGGATATGATTGTTTTTTTTTAAGGGGGCAAAGACCCTGTTTGTTTCCGCTTGTAAGTGGATTCTCAACTATAAAAAACAAGAATTCAACGCAAAAAAATGGATTATTTTTTACCATTATACTTTAAGAATATTTTTGAAGAATCCCTGCGATAGGGACCTGCTATATTAATTAATATACCTAAATTGAGTGTCATGATCTGATTTAATCAAATTAACCTTGTGATCCTCAGGAGATGTCATCCGCATCTCCACTACATCAAGACATTGGATTCTGGTTGCGTATCAAACCAATATAGTCGCCACAAATTAAGATCATATCTCAACAAAAGATTTCATAATTTAGTGGAAACATGTATTACAAATCTCACCAAGTTAATAAACTAATTGTACAATATTAATGAAAATACATACTAACCTATGTGTAGTGAGAACCTGATGGCTTATCTTGCCATGCTATACCTAGGTTGAAAGCCCTATGCTATGAATTAAGTGTGTGTGTTTGGTTGAGCCGTGGCTTCTGAAAAGCTGCTTGTGAGATGTGGGTTGTGAAAAAGCTGTTTTAGGTTATGGGCAGTGGAAAAAGTTGTAAGCTGTTTGGTTCAAACAAGTATAAAACTTACCTCATATCTCTATTTTCCTTGAAACAACGGTGAAACAACTCTCTATTTTCACCATTTCAAAAGGTAGAAAGCCAAAAGCTAAAATCATGGTCTAATGTGCTTTCAAAACTGTACTACAAAAGTAGTTGATTAAAAAAAAGCAGCTTTTGGTTTCCACCTCTTTAGTTGGCTTTTGGCTTTTCGGAAGCAAAATCAATTCCCAAAAGACCAGCCAAAGGCACCCTAAATCTAACTAGTTGCTACCTTGCCATGGGTGCCACCACCATATCTTAGACGACTTCTGTCATTCACCCACTTTTCCAGTATCGGTGGGATGACATGGCCACCAATGTCCTTTAGATACTTGTAAAACAATTTAACGGCAGCACCGTGAGTACGGGATTGTACTCCGCAGGAAACAAAGGAGTATGCATTTGACATTGGCGAGGAATAAAAGTTGGGTTGCTTAAATAACATTTTATGCATAAGGTAAATGTTGTCTATCATCTACATATAAACATAGCAAAGTATAGCAAGTATGAGCATTAAGCATAAGTGAAGCTCGATCTTTCTTTAGTCCTTCATCGCAACAAGCTACTCTAAATCTAGAACTAAAAACAACCAAATTCGTTCGAGCACTTTAAGTATTCGAAGAAAACTCTACAGATATGTATAACTGTACCCACACTAAAGACTAGGACGACAAACCTCCATACCCATGTCTGAGTAAGGGTTGCCTCAAGTCCCCAACCTTTCACACGTGTGGGCAAATCGTGCTGGCAAGTACGTGAACCTCGGGGGAAAAAAATCTTTGTGTCATTTGTCTCCTTGGATCACTTGGTATTCTTTGATCGATTGTCTCTTACTGGGATTGGTAACTATCTCTATCACTTGTATTACATTCTTCTTTATCTTGTGTAGTGATAGTTTGAGTAGAGGAGCTCTCTTGCTTAGTTGTTTAGCTAGACTAGTTTGTGTAGTTGTATTAGTTTGCTAGCTAGCTTAACTAGAGTAAGAATAGTGACTTAGCTCTTTGTGTGTGCCTAGAGATCATAATCAACTAGAATTCTTGGAATAGGTGGCTTGGAACCTTTGTAGAGCTAGAGTAAAAAGCTTAACTTATTAATTGACTAACACTCGCTCTAGTATTTTATGGAAATTTTATTAGGCTATTCAACCCCTAGCCCTTAGGACCTTTCACATAGGCACTCTGACAGATGCCACGAAAGGTTTTTGCCCCATAAAAATGTCTCGGTGCCTAGCACCGCATTTCAGGTGCCTCTTCGAGCAATCGCCTAACACTCACCAGCAAGATCTGTTCTCCCTGTTGCCCCTATATCAACACCGAGTTATTTGGTTATGCTTTAATAGCTGGCCCTAAGTCAAAGGCATAGTGCACGTGTGTCCAAGCATTTTCTCGGGTCACCCCACGCATGGGGCACCTCATAAGTCCAATGGTCCCGAAAACAACACACCAAACTCATCACTCATGGCTCAATTCTCTTTTCAAATGGCTAACTCCCAATAGTCACTCACTGCGAGTAGAGTTTCTCCCTGGACGAGCAAAATAATTTTTTTGGAGGCGGGCTCCGATTCAACATGTGTGTAAATCAATATTTACACGGCAGTACGCCAACCGCTGTGTTAATAAAATAAAAACAAAAAAATGATGAGCCCATCCATGAGGCCCACTGTGCCCATCATGTGTCGCCGCCACTCACTAGATCTCATCATCATCACTGTCAGCTCATTGCTCCACTCGGTGAATCTGCACTGCGCCGAAGGAAGGGAGCCGTGTGCAGACCGACGAAGGGCCTGTACGCCATCGCTGTCAGAGGCCCATGCGAGGAGAGAGGAGAGAGCTAGAGGAGGAGGTGGTGCTCAACGTGCCGGAGTAGATGGTGGTTCGATAGTTGCTATGGAGCTCGAGGAAGTGCTTGCCGTGGATCCACCGCCAGGAGGCCCCCACCACGCGGCCGACGACGGGAGATCCCGCACGCATGCCGTTGGCGTGAGGGCCTCGCACTATGTAACACCCACACCAGAGAGAGAAGAGAGAGAGCCAGTTGAGAGAGATGATGAGCATACAAACCCTAACTGTCTTATTTATACATCGTGGGAACATATAATGGGCCTCTTGGTCCTTTTGGACCTCGGCCTTTTTTTTTTTTTGAGATTTGGCCTCAAAGAGGCCCGCCTTGAAAAATGGTCTCCATTTTCGGAGGTGCCTCCGTAAAATCAATTTTGGACCTTGGCCTTTTTTTTTTTTTACGAGACGGGCCTCATAAGAGGTTTGCCTCAGTAAATCAATTTTAGGAGACGGTTACTTTTTGACCGCCTCCATAAATCTATTTTAGTAGATGGGCAATTTGTGATCGCCTTTGTAAATAAAATGACCGCCTTCAAAATCCTCACTATTTTAGGAGACACATAAGTTTTGTGACCACCTTCGTTAATGATTGGGCAAAGTCTCACGAAATTATTTTTGTAGTAGTGGGTGTCCCACAAGACCACCACACCTTTATCAACTGTGTTTGTTATTTTCAAAAAGTATTTTATAGGTTTTGCTCTTGCTCCTTTCCATGCTATTTGATCTAAATGCAACACAAGTTAGGTCTCACCTAGTGGCACTAAATAGCCATTTAACTCCCAAGAAAGCCCCTCTTGATAGTACAATTATCTATCCTAAACCCAGTCAAGCACTTCTCTACTCAACCTTAGACCGATGAAATAAAATGCCCTACAAATATACCTTTGTCTTGCGCATTCCATTCCATCTTCACGTCAGTGATGCTACACAAGCATCTAACCTCCATGTTCATCAAATGCTGAACAATTATCATCCATTCATGTAGCTAACCATGCTACCTTGACCACTGCCTATAGCATGAAGCTCCTTCCTCATTCTTCATCAAAGCCACCGGCACAAATGAACACTTGAATTTATCTTCCATGAATGATATGATTCACTTAATAGCATCGTATGACCTTATTGGTTCATCGATCACAACCTCGCTTGCTCTTCACCATTGTCTTGGTCCATTGGTTCCAAGCCCTCTACTCACGCTTCAGCACCTCGACAATCCATCGCGCCCGAGCCTTTAGCTTGCCCTTTCACACTCGCAGCCTGGTCCTTCATAGCCAAGCCTCGCCTCTTGATGTTCTCCACCTATCCATACATATGACACCATGTCATGTCTCATATGCAATGAGCTCCTTCATGTTCACTAGTTGAGCCCTATCATCACATGTCCAAAAGCCACCTCTCCACCATGGCTCTATATATGTCTTGACCACACTAGTGTACCTATTGACTAAGTACCTTATTCATCTAGTCCACCTAAGATTGTCATCAATTACCAAAACCTAACCGAGACTTTCACTAAGTTCCAAACTCAACTAGACCAGGTTTCACAACTTCGTCAACCATCACCGCATTTCTACGGTACACATGATCTAGCATTTGAGTCGTCAACACAATTAATGTGCGCTAACAAAAGCACAAGCTCCACTGCTACAATTTTATCTTGTGGAAAGAAAAGATATTTAATCAAGACAACTTGGGATAATTTGAGTGGACATAAGCAAGCGATCAAGCAACATATATACTTTCATTAGTTGAATTATTTGAATCAGTTCGTGGCTCACACCATTCTAAATTTCCAATCCATAACAAAGTTTCCA